TTCTTCAGGATCAAGTTTTTGGTTTTGTTGCAAAATAAGGAATTATAAGTGAAAAACACAATCAGAACTATTGATATACTGTGCATAAGCTTTAAGTCAGGATCAAGGACCTCTCAAACCCTTCAGTTTAAGGATGTCATGAATAGGGAGTAGTTTAAGGATGTCATGAATAGGGAGCAGTTTCAGGAAAACTCTCCATATGAAAAAAGACATAAACGGGGTTAGGAACTTATTCCAGATGTGTTTTCCCCAAGAGACAGTCTCCCAATCGAACATGTTATCATATATAGCTTTGGACAAGGATTGTAATTTGCAGTTTATTAATACCAGATTGTCTTTAGTGTCTCTATTAAACTGTATTTTGGAGATGCACTCAACAGCAGTGGGAGTTAGCATAGCCTTGAGGGTATCTAAACACCAAGAGTTGTCAGTCTAGCATTTAGAAACTAGAACGTCCTCGTTAATATCAGATGGTTTGGGCTGTAGCAGGTCCTGTGGGCACCAATTATCCAGCCAAAAATAGATTCTGCCATTACCCAGATCCCAGAAAATTAGATCCTCAGCTTTCTGTCTAATATTCAACATTTGTGTCCAAATATATATATTACCCAGATGGCGATATATGTTTATATATATATATAAATATATATATATAATCAAAATGAAATTATTATTCTATCACTCGGTAGATAGTCTCATTCGAATTGACTCGACAATCTAAACGCGCTTGTGTAGTCCAAATCATGAAACGACTTTGCTAAAAAAAAATTCATGTACAAATATGCATGAAAAAAGAGCTTCATGTGCCTAAATCCACATAAAAAGGATGGCAAATTGTTGTCGCACTGGTCACATATCCCCCTGAAGATTTTGATAAGCATTACTTGACTGGAGAAATGAAAATTCTAGCACAATGATGAGCTCAGGTTCGACAAGTTATTCTGACCCATTATTGTGCATGAATAAGCAAAAAATGCATCGATCAAAGTCCATCAATGACAAAAAAGTCGATAATTATCGTGATCGATATGACACTATTCTATGAGACACATGGGTGACCCTAAGGATAGTAAAGAAAAAAAAAATGAGGTCAATAAAGGGACTCCTAACATATAAGGTGAATTCATATGAAACACCACATGTTGGTGTAGACAATATCAAGGGCAAAAGCATAGCGATAGACTATGCTATGACAAAAATAACTGTGACTCACACTTAACCTAGAAAATAGTTAAGGTATTCCGACCATGAAAGTAAGCATTAGGACTTACAACTATCCTTAGAGTTGATCGGAGAAATAAAATGACTACACTAACAAAGAAAAATTTTGGAACTCACATATATCCTAGAAGGTAGACAAGGGGTTAGGTTAAGAAGGAAAGCTCGGTGAACTACATCATCATAAAAACTGCAAAGTTCTAGTTTGGTCTTCAAATATGTGAGTCCTATATGTAGACTTGAACTTTGACTTGTCTAACTAGAAAAAAGAGGAAAAGATTCTAGCTCAGTCAATGAGCATTTAAACCTTGCATGTTGGCTTGGTCTCCAGCTTGTTGAACTAGAGAAAATAGTGGATCCAGCTCAACCACTGGAGTTTATTGAATTGGAGCAACACTAGAGAATAGCCTTTGACCATATGAGTCGTGTAGATCAACTTGATCTCCTAACTTGTTGATTTCAAGAAAAGAAGAAAATCTTATAGCTCAGTCTTCAAACATGTGAGCCTCAAGAAGAAAAGCTTATAGCTCAGTCATCAAACATGTGAGCCTCGCATTTGGGCTTTTTAAATTCGATCAACACTCGAGCTTAGCCTTTAAACATGTGAGCTTAGTATATCTGCTTTATCTCTATACTTGTTTAACTAAAAAAAGAAGAAGATAGATTCTATCTTGGTCTTTGAACATGCGAGCCCTCTATATCCACTTAGTCTCTGACTTGTTAAAGTAGAAAAAAATTGAACCAACTCAACCACTAGGGCTTGTTGAATTTGATCAACACTCGTGCTAGCCTTCAAATTTGTGATCCTTGGATATCAACACGTTCTCCAACTCGGTATCTAAACGTGTTGAACTCAAGAAAGAAAGTAAAGCTTCTTACTCATTCTTTGAACATGTGAGCCTTGTATACTGACTCAATCTCCAACTTGTTGAACTTGAAAAAGAGTGGATCCAACTCGGCCATTAGGGTATGCTGAATTGGATCAACACACAAGCTTGACCTTCAAATATGTTAGCCATGTATATCAACCCAGGCTCTAGATTTGTTGAGCTTGAGAAAAGAGTAAATAACTAAATCTTTGAACAAGTGGACCTTGTATAATGACTTGGTCTCTGACTGGCTGAATTAGAAAATGAAAGGATCCAACTCGATCACTAGAGCTTGTTAAATTGGATAGAGACTCGAGCTTGACGTTCAAACAAGTGAGCCTTATATATTGAATTGGTCTCCAAACTTGCTAAACATGAAAAAAGAAAAAAAAACTTCTAGCTTGATCTTTGAACATGTGAGGCTTGTTTATCCTATCGGCCTATGACTTAAGAAAAAGAAAAAAGTGGATCCTATCCAACAACATGGGCTTGTTAAATTGGATCAACACTCAAGCTTGGACTTTGAACATGTGAGCTTTGTAAATAGACTCAGTCTCCAAACTTGTTGAACTCGATCAAAGAAGAAATGTTTCTAGCTTTATCTTCAAACATATGAGCTTTATATATTGATTGCTCTTCGACTTGTTGAATGAAAAAAGACTGTGGATCCAACTTGGCCACTTGGGCTTATCGAATTGGATCAACATTGAAGATCGGCCTTTGAACATGTGAGTCTTATATGATAACTCGGTCCCCATAATTGTTGCACTCATGAACAGATGAAAAAATTATAGCTCAATCTTCAAGCATGTAAGCCTCGTGCAACAACTTGGTTTCTGACTTGCTGACTCCAAAAAGAGTGATTCTAACTCAAAATTTGGGCTTGCTGAATTGGATCGACACTCAAGCTTGGACTTGTAACGTGTGAGACTTGTATATCAACTCGGTCTTTGGACTTTTACAAATCGAGAAAAGAAGAAAAGCTTCAAGCTCAATCTTTGAACATGTAAACCTTGTAAATCTACTTGGTTGTTGACCTCATTTTTCTATAAGGTCTATGTTATTCCCTCTTTCTAACACTTAGGATATAGCCTTAAGTATTCTTTAGTGGCGCTCCTTAAAGATTAGTGGTAGAAGCAACACTAAAATAAAATTTTAATCATTTCCTTACTCATTATGGTTTCATATGCTTACCGTCAAGATTCTTAACATTTGGTTAAATTGATTGAAGGGAAGTTATTGATACCTAAGTTAAGTTCCTACAGGCCTGTAAATGCCTTTATCAACTTTTTTGGCCCTAGAGACTTGGGACTTATTTTTGTCTCTCACATTGTACTCCAACATAGTTTCTTGGATAACACTTTCTTTAGTTCATAAAAGAACACATTTGGTATGAAGCTTATCTTGGGCTAAGATAAGAGTTTACTTTTAATATAAGAGAATTTAAACTGAAAACGGTAAAAAAATATTACTAGTATTGGGCAGTGTATATATTAGAGGTAGCCAACAAAAGCGTTTCTTGTCTTTGATATTGTTCATTAGCTCTATATAGAATGCTATAAAAAAGAATAAACTACACTCATGTTTGACACTAATGAATTCTTTTTAAATTATAACTGCTGTCAATGTGATTTATTTTGTTGAATTCCTTATCCACCAAATTAAATTCCCTACATTGTTCATTTTGTTGATTTTACCGACATTCTCACAAGAGTTTGGTGAATTTAGAATTACAAGTGTTTAAAATTGAAACTTCATATTTAGAATTACTAGTATTTAAAATTGAAACTTCATTTGGAAATTGTAATCATATAATGTCTGGCAAGTTCTAAAATTTCACAAATATTGAGTGTATAAAAAAAACAACCTTCATGAACGTTTTTAATAAATGCAACAAATGTTACACAGTTGCTTTAATTCCAAAACACTAATAATGCCTCAAGTAGGAAATAATGAGAATCCTTTTAATGATACTTTAGATTCTTAAATAGTAGTTTATATTTTGCAGCACCATTATTGATGACAGGAGGGATTATTGACATTGATTCACACGATCAGCCAAGTTTATTATTCTTCAGTTAGCCTCTAGAATATACCTTATGAATTCGGCAGGGCCGAGCTTTCACAACATGCATTGGTGGTTGAGCAAACTGTTTACGAGATCGATATGGATGAGAAAAATTAAATAACATTACGAAGGCTTTCTGTTATTTCCTGGTTAATTTGCAACTTGATAACAAAGTTGCTTATTTGGCCTATTATTGTATTCCAAAATACATATATTCACAATTAGTGCTTTTGTTTATTGGCCACAATCCATCTCACAATTATTGCATTTGTTAATTGGCCATAATCTATCGTTTCAGAAAAATTATTAGGTCCAGACTTCGGATATATCCGGAGTCTAATAATAGGGCATCATATGTTAAGCAGTACTCACAAATTTTAACACTAATCAATCTTAGAAGTGCCCACTTGTCCGTGACGTCTCACCATTGAACTATAGTTGTTAATTACATTTGAAATCCGGAGATAATATTTACCACAACAAAGCAACGTAGGTCGACTGCTAAGTTAGTTGGCTGAATTTTTTATAAGAAAGATGACTTCATCACGAAGGTTTAGCTTAAATTCTTAATTTTTTTTAGGGCAATCACGCCGAGTATTAATTATTCGCAATTGGAAGAAAATCTACATAGAACAGCCGACAAGGACCCGTGACGCGGCCCGCAACTCCTGATCTATTATTTGTCCTGCACTAAGAAGTTAAAACCCTGGCATCAAAGGAACAACTGTGAAACAGGAAAGTCGCCTCTATTCTCTAGAGGCTTCCGCCTCCCCGAGGAGGCGGCGCTTCAATGGCTGATCCGATCCCTCCACCGGCTCCATCGGCGTTCCGCCACCGGCCGCTACCGCCTGATTTGGAGCGCGAAGAGACGTGGGAGCGCCGTAAGGATCTCCACCGTTTGCGACGCAGCAGCCGCGTCGTGAGAAGCGTCACCGAAGACGATTTTGACGAGCTCCGTGGATGTATCGATCTCGGGATCGTGTCCGGTGATGGATCGCTTGAAAGCGGCGATTGTTCTAAGATCGCCAAGATTCTGCCAGCACTCGATCTGTATCTCGCCGTCCAGCGAGGATTGAACGGTTCGGTTTCTACCGGCAGGTCTACGCCGTCGGAATTTTCTTCATCTGTTGAATCTCCCGACGAACCTCACCTTTCGATGTTCTTCTCAGGTAATTAATTATGAACGCCATCGCCAGTGCAGACGGCGGTGCACTTTATAGCATTCGAAATTAGCTGTCGTTTGCACGCTTGAAATTGAATTGGATGTGATTTTAAATTAGTGATGGCTTCAATGATATTGCTTTTATTCCATCCCAAGCTCAATAATACTTCGATAAAATTTCGTACATGGTATGGATGAAATACATATTCGTCCAATTATATGGGTTTTGTAGTGCTTACAAGTTTAAGCTTGTTTGAAATTATGCAAAACATAGTGTAGTTGAATTATGCTCTTCCCAGATTAAGGTTGGTAGCCTATTAACAGGCCGATTTAGCAACCAAACCCTCCACTAGACCTACTTCTCTCGCATTCTGGCTGAGTCTCCCCGCGGTCCGTCTTCTTCTTCGTGTAAATCTGGATTTATAAAATCAGAAGCTTCGAAGCTTTTGTTCTTTGAACTGGATTTAATAAATCCGAATTTACTAAATCGTATTTAATAATTTTGAGTTCGAGTCTAGTTGAATTAAGAACTTTGATTCAAACTAAGTTAAATCTCCGTGGATTCTCACATTTTGTTGCTCTATTGTGGGTTTTGAGCTCAGTTTTTAGGAAGCTTCAGACCAATACTTGGTCCAGTTTCCTCATTTTTTTCCAATCCAAACAGAGTCTTAATCCTTCATTGTTACTCAAAACTTTTTAATATTTCGTTTCTGCCAATTCATTACACTGATTATTGACAAACTTGTCATTGCAGGAAGCACTCCGTCGGAAGTTAAGGGAAATTTGAAGCAGTGGGCTCAGGTGGTGGCTTGCTCGCTGAACCAGAGTTGCGGAGTCCGGCGATACCCAGGCGGATGAGTTGGAGGCCTCCTACTCTTCTTATTCTTCTCATTTTTTTGATTTAGAAAAACAAAAATCCAGACTTTGACATTCCTGTGATCATTGATTTATGTATTTTCGTTGAACGATGGATTTGAATTGTACTTTTGTAATATGCGGTGGATCATAGGACGATTCTTTATTAGTTGGTTTAGTTTGAACCGCTTAAAACCGTTGCAGTGCATTTTCTGTTGATTTTAGCATCTATTAAAATTGTTGATGTTTATAATGTAATTTGAATGGAAGATGGAGATTGCTTCCGTATGAACTCGCCGTTCTTAGGCAGCGGCGTTGAGGAAACATGGCGTAAGGCATATTTCTAAGTATGCGCGTAATTGATTTTTCTTATGGACAGGATATGCCCCCCAACCGTTGCGAAAATAATAAATTGACGGAAAAAATCCGTGCAATAAAGTTGATGCATGTTATCATTAATAGTATAAATATTTATTATATAAAAATAAATTTGATGATAGAAGTTCAACACTTTTTTGCTATGAAAAGCAACTTTGCAAGGATGATTCAAGAAGGTGACATCTATTAAGGATCTATTTGGGGAAGTTGCAGCTTATTGAATAATTTGTTGATAAGCTGTTGATCAATATCTTGTTTGAAAAAGTTGGTTAATTGATTTGTGCTGTTTGAAAACAGCTGATTGGCTGATTTGCAGTTATTTCTGTATAAATGATCATTTTTCTCACGTGCAGTGATGACTTTGTAGTTCATCCAAGAGATCCAAAAATATGTGTACTGTCATACATAACATGTTTTTGAACCTTGTGAGATGTCCTTGTAGCAGTTCGTTGACCCATTAATCGGCCTTCAAGTCATCTGTTAAGCTTGCAAACCCTTGTTCACTTAGGGTGAACACATGCATGTCCGTCGCAATAACTCCTCTAAATAGGAGGTCCAACTTCTCCTCTAGCTCCGACTCAAAGCGATTTATGTTAAATTTTTTTGTGGCTGACACCGCTTGCAACGTAAGGGAAAATATATTAGTTAAAACATTTTATATGGATATCGAATGGAATAACAAGTATTTAGGGGTTTACTTATTACTTTCAACTTCTCAGCCAACCAATCCTCTGAAGCATTAATAATCCGCTTGATAGGATCTCAACCCAAGCCCGTTGATCCTCTTTTTAGTTCCTTCCATAACTTCCAGTATTCTTCAACTAATCTCACTTGTTCTTATTTTTTAACATATCGTAGTCCTTTCCTGTCATTTCATGGAACTTCGTAATATTTTGCCACCCTTTTTTGATAAAGTAGATGGTGGGTCTATTTTGAAGCGCGATATCCTTGATACAGAGATTACAAAATATGATTGTGACTTCTTTATCCCACATTGCTGATGAAATGACTTCTTTGGTTTTAACCATTACATTACTAATAAAAAAAAGGAAAAAAACAGTAATATTTTAGAACAATCAGAGAAGAGACACTATGACAAGCCCAAACACACACACATAAAGCCACAGACACAAGTCCACCACACACAAACACCCAATACCATGACACAGCCAGAAAACACACACACACACACACACAATCACCACCAACACACACTCACCACCAACACACACAACAACTAAGCATAACACCCACAACCAACACTGCCACCAAACAAAAACACCACAACAAGCACACACACACTCACAAAAACCACCACATTGACTTCTTACCATTATTTTTGAAACTAGCTTTGCATAAGCATGATGAAGCAAACCCACTGTATTTGTTTCTATAAGTGATCAGAGTGATCATAGTAATATTGATCAATGATCATAGCAAAAGAAGCTCTTAGGCATTTTTTACAGAATTTTACAAAGTATAGCCGAGACCTATTAATGCATACTACTATGACTAATAGATTTTCTAATACTCTTTGATGCAATGCTGCACACAATGAAGTTTATGTAATGTGAAAAGAATTTCACTTTACCATAATTTTTGAAACTGGGTTTGCATAAGTATGATTAAGCAATCTTATTGTTTTTGTCTCATAGCAGTGATGATAGTGGTCATGGCAATGATGTTCATTGAAGGAGTAACTATGAGGCATTCATTATTGAATTTTACAAGGTATTGCCAAAGGCTATCAATGTGTGGTATTCTCTCTAACAAATTAGCTGATGATATTTCAAGCAATCTTTCATAGCATGATGTTTCTTTGTGTGAAAATTATTTATCTTTACCATAATTATTTGGTGCAATGTTTTACATCATGCAATGTTTTACTCCATGAGCATGATGAAGCAATCATATCAATGCATACTATTCACTCACAACAACCACCAACACACAGAACCATCAAGCAAACCACCCACAGCCAACACCCTTAGAACCACCACAACCAGATTGAGCAATCAGCCATAATCCAAAAAGACAAAGGCACTGAACCAGCTCATATATGTCAAGTTCCTTTCCATTCTTCAAATTATCCAAAAAAATAAGAAAATCACATAACATACGACGCATGGAGAAACCATTTCATCGATAAAAACCGTCAGAAATTACAGATACAATTACATTCCATTGAAATACTTACAGAGCATGGTTATCAGGGATCAGAAGTAGGAAGAAGAAGTGAGTGAGAGAGATAGGAGCAACCGAGTGAGAGAGTTGAGCGAGGTGTTACATAGGGTTTGAGCTGAAGAAGGTCGAGCAGAGGGATAGGGGAGTAATAATCTTATCGAAGATGCAAGCCATGGGGTCAATCCCACGACCATGATTAATAGACAAATCCAAACTGCAGGGCAATGATGCAGACTTAACGCACAAAACAAATTCCACTTGTGCGGTTTCAAAATGCCAAAGGCACGAATACGCTTCCCCAAACAGGCTTTAAGTCCTTGGCAAATTCTCATTTTTTGTCAGTATCTTCAAGAATTATTCCATTAAAAATTAGAGCATTGCCAAGTTGAAATGGGTGCATATTCATCATAGCATCAAATTATGATTCCTACTCATCCAAAAGATGTCAATTCTCGATTTTTCAATCATCGCTTTTCTCCTTGCCAATGAAGTGTAAACAAAAAAAGGTCTACATGAATCTCTAGACGATCTAACGGTTGGAACAAAAGGACCATAATATTCTTTGTTCTTCTCTCTAATGCAATGCTAAACATGTATTTTTTTATATTTTTTTGCTTCTCCTATCTTCTATAAATAGGAGGGTTTTATGATATATATGAGGACTTTGGCTCCCCTCACTTGTAATAAAACTACTTTATGAAAAAAATGGGTCGAAGAACCCGAGAACACCCCATATCCCTCCTGACTGAGAGAAGTCCTCCTCTTCTTCTTCTTCCTCTCTCTCTCTCACTTCTCTCCCTATCTCGATTACCTCTCCTCAGCCAACGATCTTTTCAGTGGGCACAATCTACTAGAAAAATGTGGATCCAACAACTTTGAAGGTGTGGCAAGCGTGGATCATTCTACCAACTTGAAGACAAGCAACATCGAGAACATACATGGGGAACTAGTGATCCACCTAAAAATTACCTATTCTTAATGTACATTTCATGTTCATTTTATACATATTTTTTATGATATTGCACTTTAAAAAAAGTTATTTTGCATGTTTTTGGTTTCAGGTATAAGATATGGAGTTTTAGCGAAAATGAAGGAAAAACAATGCAATTTAGAGCCAAATTAAGCATGGAAGAAAATTTTGACCTGACACATTTTGATATGTCTCGCTATGCTTAATCTCTCTTACATTTATCATATGTTTTTGAATGAAATTACACTTTAAAGAAAGCTTAATTTCATGCTTATTTTGTAGATATATTAATTTGGAGCGAAACAGAGCTGAAATAGGGCGAAATGAAGTTGAAACGGCGTGAAACGAGGCGAAACGATGAAGCTGCCACAGGGTGGAGTTATAGCATCAATATAGCACCAAACACAGATAGTAAGCACTGATTCTGGCGCTTTAGCATTCTAGGCGGTTTTTGGACTGTTTTTGGTCAATTTTGGGCCATTCTGGGACGTTATGGAAGCTTATGGACAACATGCACACCCCATAAAGTGATTAAATGAATCTAGACACTTGGAGTGGCCTTTGAATAAAGAGATGTGTCTCTTGGAATGAAAAGATGTGTGTCTTGGATGAAGAGATGTGTCTCTTAGAGAAAAGAGGGGTTTTTGTTTCTTTTTAAAAAGATGGGCTTGGCGCCTCTCAGGACAAGTATTAGGAGAAGTAATTAGAGTGTGGTTTAGGAAGAATTTTAGAAGAATTTTAGAGAGTGTTTTGTGTGAGTCTATGGAGATGTAGATTTCTCCATTTTCTGGAGAGATTGGTGAGGGATTTTGAGAGAAATGGGTAAGGAAGTATGAGCAGCGCATGGATCAGTAGGAGACTTTGGTGGAGAGATTTTTCATCTTTCTTTCACAGAGAAAAAGCTAAGTATTGTATTCTTCATTATCTTATAGTTGTTGTAAACACTTTTTAGTACATTTTTTTATTTAAACCAAGTTTTCTGTGGTGTTTTATCCATGCTTCGTAAGTGTTTTTCTTTACTCTTTTCTTTTAATATGAAGTAGTGTCATGTGTAAGATAATTATTTCATAATAGAATTATTTTTAATTTCATGTGATGAGTAATATCTCATTTGCTTCATTGACATAACTTAAGAGACAATAAGTTATGTTAAAATGTCTTATATGTGAAACTAACACTCGGGAGAGCAGCGATCTTAAGACTCGGGAGAGCAGCGATCTTGCAACTTAAGTGCACTCACATTGACTGGTTGGCTAGTAAAATAGTTTAAGCGGCAATGCAATGTTGACCTCTCTTTTAGATGAGGTCTAGTTTCCTCCTTAGCAGCCTAGGGTCTAGCTATAAGATTTTCCTGTTGACTATTCTTAGAGAACTAATAAAGGAACCCTCACCATTAGAAACTCTAAACTCCTTTTTGCTCAATTTGAAGTCCCACATATTGGTTCTAACATCTAACATTTAGTAGTTGGGGCCAATATGGGGAAGCTCAAGGAGAGTCCCCATAGGACTTTTTGGCCTTGGACCCTGGGTGGTGTGTCCTTGGTCAATTTCACACACACACACAAACACACACTTGATACCTCCCCACTTACACTCACAACCTCAGGCTTTAGACAAATATGCTTAGTTCATCCCTCATCTTTTTGGGAAACTCATGTAGATGGTCCCATAGGCCACTAACCCTAGGCTAGGGTTTAGCTGAGACCACTACACAAAGGAACCAAAG